AACGGCCCGCAATCAGCTGCACCAGAAATAAAAAACGTAACGTTGTTGCTTAGCTCTGGGACTACATTACAGATGTTATTCCATTCCCACTGAAAGTTAAATTACAGTTGTTCACGACCATGTAAGTAATTGATAGTCGTGATAATACACAAAGCATATTATCACGACCAATTGTCATCGCAACTATATTCTTCATTTGAATGAGGATATTTTGGTCCATTAAACTCCAAAATGATCTATTTGTCTAAATTTCCGAAGAAAAAAGGTCTTGAAATGAGTCACTTCTTTTATGGTGTAGGAGTTAATCATGCTGGGGTCATTTCAATAGCCAAAAACGTAACCCTCAAAGGAAAATAATGGTGGTAGAGGAGCTTCAAAGTTGCAAGTTACGACCCCACTTTGGACAATGAAATCACCCTCTCCAATCAACCGCGAAGCCGAAAAAAAAAAAATATTATGTCATGATGCAAGACCATTCATGTAAGCTAAGCCAGTAATTGCTCCAATGTATCAATCCGATGGCCCACAATTCACACATCAAACTTTATGCCATGAAAAAGAAACCCTAGCTACGAGCCCTACGCCCACCCCTCCCCTTCCATGCCTTTTGTAGACATAGACTTGTGCGGGATCGGTTTGTTTTCTTCAATATCTCACTAGTTCTGAAATTTTTTAAACCAATAATTGTAGTTGCCGGGTGAATATATCAGATATTGGGGGTGCAAGTGCAACTTTGAATCTCAAAGTTGAACTAATAATGCCTTTTAGATGTTGATGGGATAATCTGGTTTGGAATTTTTTTTTTCCTTCCAAGATCCAATTTTGATGCCATTTTAGTCCTCGATAAGGTAATCCAATACCCACTACCCAAAAGGCCGCATTATTGTTGTCCCTCATGATTTGTATATATGGCTAAGAGCTAGGTGGCTTTAACAATTCTTTTGTAAAAATAAAATTTATAGGTGCAATAATTAAGGATAAGTCTAAGTGATGTTTGATTAATTAAATTCTCCTATTGATCCCCTCATATTTTTGTATAAACTATAGTTTGATTAGACGAGGAAGAAAAAAAGAGTTATTTTCGCTAATAATTTGTCATTTTATGTTAATAAACTGTTGATCTAAATTATTGTTATGCGTGTCATAATTTTATTCATACGTCACGCTCGTATGTCTTTTTAGCTTACGCGGAAAAAGCTGAAAAACAAGCAAATCTCCAAGTGTTGTTAGTTATATAACTTTTTAATCAGGTGTCACGGATGTGTAAGTGAGCTACATGTTAGATTTAAGGGCTCGTTTGAAAGTGATTCTGGATATGCTAGAATCATTTTTGTGGAGAACCACCTCCCACGTGCTTCTCTATATAAACACGTTAAGTGATTTTAAGTGATTTTTGGCAGAAGCACGTGGAAGGTGCTTCTCTATAAAATCACATAAAACCACTTAAAGTGATTATTTGGAGAAGTGATTTTCCATATAAGTGATTTTTGGCTTATCCAAAATCACTATCAAACAAGCCCTTAGAGTACAACACAAAAGGAGTGGAAAAAACTAAAAAACTAAAAGAAAAACAAGAAGGTACTTGTTCTAGGTTAGTTCCTTGTTAATTTTTGCAATGAGTATTATTCTAAACAAAAGCAAAAGCAGAGCACAGGTACTTCAACAAAAGTACTTCTTTTATGAAATTGCATTTACTTTTTCTCAAGTGGCTTAAGATGCTTGAATCAATTTGTTATTGGCTTGTATTGCTAAGTGATGTTTAATTAATGCAGGAAATCATTTCCACTTTTTTCTTCTTCTTCTTTTCTTTGTTTTTAATGTTTTTTTTAATCCACAGTTAGTGTTCATAGGATAGGGATAGCCGATTATGAGTCTTGTACAATGTGAGTTGATGCATCATCAGATTGTTACCCAAATAAAGAACACTTTAAGGTCACCATTATTGGAGTGTAATTATTTTACTAATTTTAATTATTATATCAGGGTTGAATATAATACCCAAAGCATCCCATAATTAAACCAAGACGTCATCACCAAGACGATTAACCACGATATATTATTGGTGGAGTAAAAGTCGCAAAAGTACTTCTCTTTGTTCAAAGTTCACCCAATTCAATTAAGGAACGAAATTAACAATTAATTACTATGGCACTCACAATGTTGTATTTGATAATTGTTTATGTTGCTCCATGCAAACCATGCGTTTCACATATAAGAACAAACTTCAAAATGCCTAATATTATCATATTGTGACTTTTATCACAGAATTATAAAAGAAACTCAAATTCACATTCTCGAAACATAATATGTTAAAGTCAATAATAGCCTAATAGTAAAGTCAAAAGAGAAGCTATTTTATTTATCACGTCGAACATTACAAATGTCAATGAAAAAAAAAAATTTGTGTGGCACTAAAACACCATTTATTAATTTATTTGTTATAACACGAGTCACCAACGGATTTATATTTACAATTCAATAAATGTACTCATAATATAACATGGATGGAATATATCCGTGAAAGTTACTACTACATCTGCTACAAAATTAACTTCTTACAATTATGTGATAGATAATATGACAAATATAATGACAGCGGAGGATAGCCCACAAAGGGACATGTCAAGGAGAATATCAATCAATAATTTTGGAGTGGTCTATCAACTTGAATGTTGTCATACCTATTCTGTGAAGACCATTAAAGTTCATAGTTAATCTGATGATTTAGATTAGCCACCAATAATAATATTCTTCATGGAAGCCAGCTAGAAGAACCATAATGTTGCCATTGGTTATTGTGTTTTTGAACTCATTTGCTGGAATCAAATTTATGCCTCCTTTGCCAAAAATTGACCGCATTTAAACCCAACTTGTATTAAAATGAATTGGGTAGCTAAATAAGCTAGATACAAAATGAATGACTGTTGGTTGAAGGAGGTTTTATGTTCGACTCACATAGATAATGAAATGATATATTTGTGATGAGTTCGATACATAGTCGTGAATATCTTGATTCGTTATAAAGGTATCTTCCAGTTGGTTGAATAAGGTCTCATGTTCGACTCACATAGATAATGAAACAATATATATTTATAATAAATTTGATACATTGTCGTGAATATCTTCATTGGTTATAAAAGTATCTCGTACCTATTCTTATCGTTCGTCAAAAAGGAAAAAACAGGACTGCTTGACTGGACCGACTTTGAGTATTTTGGTTTTCCTTCTTTCTATTTATATTTCAATGTACAGCAAATCCTATCGCTTTCACAAGCAAAGCGTGAAGTTGATTTGGCGTTCAACGTTCAACTAATTCATAAAACTTCTCTAGTCCGCGCGGTATTAACTAGCGAGTTTAAAAAAACGCGAGAAAACGAAGATATTTTGGATTGTCGCGTTTGGGAGGAGCAGGCCAGGAGCCAGCTGGCAGTAGACGCGCTAGATCCGAGCAGTGGGGGCCTACTTCACGTGCCAGCATGCTCTCGCAGTTGCGTGAAACCAATCTGCGCCACGTGGATAAAAACACAGGTAAGCGGACACGTGGCGAGGTCCTCGAACGTCTAAACAGGACCACTTTTGTCCTCTTTTCTAAAACCAGGTCAGGTGAGCCCCATCTCATCTGCGTCGCGACAAAACTTGTGACTTCCAGTGCGAGTAGATCACATATTGCATTGTTTTGTTCTTGTTTGGGACGGAATTCATATTTCCCATTTTGCCCCTTATTCTCTGCGCTTTTTGTCCGCTTCCCCCCACCAGTCTCTACGTTACGCTTTCAATTCCCTGCCCCTGCGTGGCGGCCATCAACCGCTTGAAAACCAACGGCGCCGACATCTTTGGCAAGTTATGCGAATTTTATTCTTTCTAATGTCAGTTTGGTTCACATAAAAAGGGCAAATATTTTAGTATTCTTTCACCTTTTTCCTTTTAAATCAAACCAAAGTTTATTTATTTCACGAAAATGAATTTACTGATTGAATATCATTTTGTTTAGAAAATGCACTTTCTGTTAATTGATGCTCTATAATTTGTTTTAGATATGTTTCTTCGACATATGTCGTACTTTTTCTTACTCCAAGATTTTTTTCGTGTGGTTTTCTTTAGAAAGATTTTAAACAAAGCCACGCAAAACATGCCTAATTTTTCTACTTTCCATTGAAATGAAATCTACATTCTTCTTTTTTTTTTCTCTCAAAAACTGCACTTTCTATAAAATACCTAATTTATACATTACACAATTGTTTTCTCTTACAAAACAGTCTTGCAATATAAAATAATCATATTGTAGATGGTGATTATTAACTAAATTTTCAGATAATATAATTATCTTATATTGTCCCACTATTTATCAAGAACATTCTCATACATTTTTGTGTGCAGATAATGTGTTGAAAGATGTCATACCTAAAACTTAAGGTTTGGTTTGATGGCTCAGCTTAGACAGCGTTGTCCAATTTAATAAATATAATCCAAACATATTTAAGAACAACTATAAGACTTGTTGAATTTAATTGAAGTAGTTTAACCTAGTTCGACCCACTAAACGTTACCTAATTATGTTGCGTACTTCAAAAGCAAATAATTTTGGCCATCCACATGTGAGGCATGAGTTTTTTTTTTTTTTTTTAAAACAATCCAAAACCAAAATATCCTCAGTTTCTTTCTTGACCTTTTCTAGTTTACAGTTACAAAAGATCAATTACGTTTTTCTGGCTAGACAAGATGGATCAAAACACTAAACAGGCAGTATATGCGAACTGTTTCATGTATTTCTGTGGGTCCAATGAAAACCTCCGCCATCAGAACCGTGCGACGCACCCTATCCGGCCCCACCTCCCGAGATATTGAACTCAACCCATTCGAATGGATAAATCGAAAATCCGACGTGTCTTTTTCGCTTAAAATCGCAGGGCCAGTTACGTAATTTTACCATAATTGAACTCGAGAGAAGCAGCCTTATCCAAACTGCAAGCGGCAAGCCAACCTTTATAAAAGCGATTCGGACGCTCTCATTTTGGTAGAGCCAAAACACAAAACGCAGAACAGAAGCAAAGCGAAAAAAAACAGGAGCGATTGAGAGAGAGCCCAAAACGCAGCGTTTTAGACCTCCGAAATGGCGACGAGTAAGAGCTACTACGCTAGGCCGAACTACCGGTACCTCTCCAGCGACCACCACCACCCAACCCTAGCGCCCGACTCCGCATTCGAACTCGACGAGTCAGACATCTACAACTTCGCCCGGTCCAACTCTCCCGAGTTCTGCAAACCGGTCCCGAGCTCCCGTGTCGTCTCGGCGTCCAAGAACCGGCGATCCGAAGCCGCCGACCGGTCGGACCGTACCGGCGGTACGGCGGCGTCGCTGCCGGTAGGCATTCCGGACTGGTCCAAGATCTTGAGGGACGAGTACCGAGAAAACCAGAAGAGCGATGACGACGACGACGATGACGTGGACGGCGGCGTGCGGGTCCCGCCTCACGAGTTCTTGGCTAGGCAGATGGCGAGAACGAGAATCGCGTCGTTCTCGGTGCACGAAGGCGTGGGGAGGACCTTGAAAGGGAGGGATCTCAGCCGGGTCCGAAATGCAATTTGGGAGAAAACCGGGTTCGAAGATTAAACGGAATTTATTTTTCAAAACCAAGAAATACAGAGAAAGGGGTGTACGGGAATTATTGGTTAGATTTTATTTTATTTTTGCCTTTTTCTAATTTTTATGAATTCAGTTTCTTTTACTTCCTTGTTTCTAATTTATGTGATCAAGATGATCGTCTTTACGAATGTAATGTAATCCCAAATTGGAGGATTGTTAATTTAACTTAATTTCAATCTTAATTAAGTTTTTGTGAGGTGGTTAATTTTGGGTTTGAAGTTTGTAAATTATTTTTGGCAGAGAAGTTTGTAACTTCTTGAGGAGAAACGAAGCAAGTAGGTGTTTAGAAGTAGAAAGTAAATGATTGGTGGGTGTTTTTTAAGTGTTTGATTGATGTGGGTGGGGTTGGTACGAAAATGAAAAGCAAGATGGTGATAACGACCCCCTCTATTGAAAAAATAATGCACATAAACACAAAGTGTCAAATCTACCACTTTTTCCTTTGCCTTTCACACTAGTCGTCTTTGAGAATTTAAAATTCCATCAATTTCTTTTTCGTGGTAAATAGATTTATCAATCTTTTTCAATGAATTATACACAATTGTGAAATTGGGTTTTGCGTTTACATCAACGGTTGACAATTAATATTCAACGCTTATTTGTACGTTCACACATTTCACAGTTGACAATTGTTTACATATTCATGGGATGATTTTCGAAAGAAAATCTTGTATTAGAAATTTCTATGTGGCTTCTTCATTTGAAGGGGAATTTGGTGAGATGAAAATTTATCATTGGGGTTAGGTAAATTGTAGAGCAAGCACGCCTTATTTGTACGTTTACACATTTCACCGTTGACAATTGTTTATATGTTCATGTGATGACTTTTGGAAATAAAATCTTGATTTGAAGGGGAATTAGGTGGGATTGAAATTTATAATTGGGGTTAGGTAGATTGTAGAGCAAGCACACATTAATTTAAAGGCAACCCTAGTTTTGCAATATGCTTATGGGTGGGATGTTTATTTTTTAATCAATCGAGTATTGTGCAGACTACCACCATTAGGTGGTTTTTTCTGCTCTTTTGGTGATTTTTCTAATATTGCTTTTTAGATAAGGCAATAGTTGCTTTTTTGATAAGGTTATTTAGTGGATAGTTGCAAGGGATACCCATTATAATGTTCAGTTAATTAATTAATTAATACTTCATTAGGTTTTTTTAATTGGACAGTGAGGATAACTATCTAAATACCAGATCTTGTAAATTTAATCGGAAAAAAAAAATGGATGTTCAATATGATAGTAATGATCCAATCTTTAATATTATTCGTGATAATTGGTTCGTATTGGTTTTAGAGACACTATAATCATGTGTACGGTCACCTGATTTAAGATTAACAAATATCCACTTATATTATGATAATTGAACAAGTTATACCATGTGGTCATACTCTAATACCACACCTATAATTATTTGTTATTTCACACACATATTGTTAATAAGGAGATAGATGCACACTAACTTTTAGATTTGTTATTTAAGATTTAAATTGAAAGGTATAAAATAAACTAAAGACCTATATAACTTAACTATAAATTTTACATAGCTTCATTTTTAAGTTTTATTTTTGCCAACGAAACCTAGCCCAATGGAAAAAGATATTGAGTTCCAGACTAGTGGTCTCACGTTCGAACCCCTATGAGACCTTGGTGGTGTGCATGCGGCAAACCTTCATCCCCTTATAATTTAGACTAATGCTTGTAAAAAATAAAAAAAAAAGTTTATTTCAAAGCTAATTCCAATTTATTTTGGCCTGTAAAAACTTCCCAACTTCGTGGTGTAATTTTTTTTGGTTATATATTAAAAACAAAAACAAAAGTCAATAAAATCGTAACCATGCGTTCAGTTGGGGTAGTTCTGTCATATAACAATTATGCTTTTGTGTGAAAAACGACTAATAGACGAAGGAGGACAAAAGCGTTAAATATTCGGTGACTAAATGGAAGGACCATTTTGTCATTTTAGGCTTGTCAGACGGAGACATTTGACTTTGTTTTGACAAAAATGAATAAGATGCTCAACCGTTCCCTCCCGAACCAAAATATTGGAAGAAAATATTAACCGTTGATTCGGTTAGTTTGGGGCCACAGATACTTTAATCATTATACCAGCCCCTCACCGTTTTATTTAAGTTTCCCCGTCCTTCTCGTCATCCAGTCTCTTTCACTATTTTTTTTTCCTTCTTTAAATTAAAAATAAAATAAAACTAAAGTCTCTTTCACTCTTTATGTGAGTTGATTAAAGCAAATTCTTATACAATTGTGCAATAACATACAAATTAAATGTAAATTGCTCTCCCATAAAAGGTCATGGGTTCGAGTCTTAACATTCGTATAGTGTGTGTGAGTTTAATATATTATCACCCCTCTCAATATGAAAGATCTAAAAAAATAATTTGTAAACCTAAACCTGTTACGTATAGTTTTCATAATCAATAACTTGACGGATATCCTTAAATTAAAAAAAATTGATGGGACTTTGGATCGAGAAAACAAAAATATTTGATGGATCGACACATATTTTATGTGTATTAATGTGATGGAGATTACAAAGAAAATGGAATATGTTAGATGAATATTATGGAGATTAATATATAATTCTTCATTTTAAATTTCTTACTAAAATTGTTTAATTAAACCCTCAATCTTCATTGCCATGATTAATGAGTCTAACTCACATATGCAGAGAAGCGTTTATTTGCACCAACGAAGTCTAGTCCATTATAAAAGAGCATTGACTTCTAGTTAAAAAAGCATTTGTTTGATCTCAGGTTCGAATCCATAACAACCAACCCCTTCCCTCAACACCACTTGTATAAAAATAAAATACAAAGCGTTTGTTTGTTTGTTTAGTGAAAAGTGTCTTCACTAAGTAGCCCAAAGGGCAATCATAGGCTGAAAGAGAATCGTACAATTCATTCTCATAAGGCCCAGTTACAAACAGTAAAGAAGCCCACAGCACAAAACCCTTAAAACAAGAAAGCCCATGTGATTGAAAATTCATAACACCATAAACAGAAGAGCACGCAAACATTTCATCTGAAATGTGAAAATAAACAGTCATTTAAGTAACCTTTTTCGTTTCTCGTTTTTATTTTTGTTAGAAATATAAGGACAATGCATGTTGGACAGAGGGATGAATTATAATGGAGGGAGGGTATGAAGAAATTAAGGATATTTTTATTTTCATTTTTCGAGAAATTAAGAATAATGAATGAAATAACAACTTGAGAATCGAATCAGTTTAAAATTTATTCAACCTCTAATTTTCATCATGTGTAGCATTCCACGTGCTTTTATTTTCCATTTTTCTACCACCATCACCCTTCTTCATTATTCGTTACTTCCATATATTTACTCTCTATCTCTAACAAAATAAAAACTAAAGCAAAAAACGAACATGTTACCAAACGAGCCTTACAATTTTAGTACTTTAAAATCTCAAAACATCGCTTGACAATAATACGAAACAACACGTGCGAGTTACGGAGTAGATTTTGTTTACCTCATGGTTGTTGCATGTTCACTAGAAAATCATGTGAGTCATATATGGTTAACATTTATATCATATATAGAGTAAGTTCGACAATAAAACATCGAGAACAAGTGAGTCATTATACAATTTGTAGCAATTCGTCTCCCACAAGCAACATAATTTTGTTGAGGAGAACCATTAATGCATATAACAATGACTAGAAACTTTTTGATGAAAGAGAAGAGAGAAAAATAAAAACAATGAATAGAACATATGCAGTTTTAAAATGAAGCCTGGAAGCTTTGGGTTGGGTTAAAAAAAGCTCCTTGAACCGACCGTAACGGAAACGAACAAGATCCGAACTTTATAACCCGACCCGTATCAGTACGCGCCAGGCTCGATTCGGATTTCGGAGCCACCCACCTACTGGTCAGGGGCTCAAACTGCTGCGTTAATTGCAGCAGAGTAGACAACAGAACAGAGCCAACGACTGGTAGACGAACGTCTCTCTCTCCTTCCCTCTCTCTCTCTCTCTCTCTCTCTCTCTCTCTCTCTCTCAAAGCACACTCGATTAACGCCCTAATTTGTCATTTGTACCAAAATTCACTGCAATTGTCTGACCTTGGTTTCTCCATGTCCTCCAAATCGAGAGCTTCAAGCTCCGGCGACGAAGCCTCCGAGCCAAACCCTAACCCTATCCCCAAACCCCCCGAGGATCAATTGGCCGCCCTCGCATTGTCCGAGACCGATAACCATGCAAACGGCGTCGTTCATGGATCGGCGGGCGAGACCAATCACAATCACCAGGAGATCGAGAGCGACGAGGAAGAAGTCGAGGCCAATTCGGCTGCGCCTGGTTTAGCTGAAGTGGAGGAGTCGAGGGAGGGTTTGCCACGTGGTAGTGTCGGTGGTGTTGTGTGGGCGAGGACCAATTCGGAGCTGGAGGTTGATGGGCCTTCGAGCCCTAGCAGCAGTGGCTATGCTGGAGAAAGAGGGAGTAGTAGTGCCAGTAGTGGTGGCTCTGGAATTGATGAGATTTCGGTAGTGAGGAACGAAGAGGTTGTTGATGGGTTTTCGGATTTGCAGGCCTCGTGGGTACCAGGAAAACGACATGTTGATGAGGTATGGTGTTCTAAAAGCTCCTCGGCTGTGTAATTTGTTAGAAAATTTACTTGCTTTCGATGAATTGCTTGGCCATTTTATTGGTTTTTAGAATGAGGTGATCGTTTTAGAGCTTAATTGTTGTGAGGACTTCAGCAATGTCGTAGAGACTAAAACATCATTGGACATTGATGTGAAGTGAGAGTTTTGATGTTAAATTCTTCCTCATTTGTTCTTTGGTTGGATGTGGCTTTAACCGCCCATGAGGTTTTTGAATTGCAAAAGAAACAGTAGTGACTAAGAGAGAGATTATGAAGAGTGTTAGGTAAGTTCTATTTCAGAATTCCTAATGGTATTGAAATAGCACAAGTACTTGATTCATTTATATGTTCGAGTATTTATATGTTCCATCCTCTCGAATTTCCACAATGTCTGGTACAATAATTTAACAGTACTAATTATATACAGTATCCTTAGGGTAGAAATGAAGGTGCGATCACAAATAATACTTTTGAAATTCAGATCAGTACCCTTATTTTTTTGGTTTTCCATAAATACATTTGAATGAGCTTTTATTTATCTTCATGTTATCAGTCAATCTAAAGTTTAGAATGTTAATTTTGTTTTTAACAATACAAAATGCTGTAATTAAAGAAGAATTAAGAATCAGACAATAATTTAGAATCTAAGATAGTACAAAAATTTCAAGGGGGATACATTTACTCATAGGGGTGCTACATTTACTC